CCTTCCAGCCATAAATACTTCATTCATCCCAGGCGCGGTGGCTCATGCCTGTAATCCCAGCACTTTGGGAGGCCGAGGCAGGCAGATCACCTGAGATCAGGAGTTCAAGATGAGCCTGGCCAACATGGTAAAACTCCGTCTCTAATAAAAATACAAAAAAATGAGTCAGGCATGGTGGCGGGTGCCTGTAATCCCAGCTACTTGGGAGGCTCAGGCAGGAGAATTGCTTAAACCCAGGTGGCACAGGTTGCAGTGAGCCAAGATCGCACCATTGCACTCCAGCCTGGGCAACAAGAGTGAAACTCCGTCTCAGAAAAAAAAAAAAAACAACTTTTTTTTTAAAATTATCACACCTAAAAACATTAACAGTGATTCCTTAATATCAAATATCCAGTCCTCTGCTGACCTTTTAACCCTCAGTGACTCCCAGGGTGTACTGTTGACCCTGACCCATCAAATTGGTTACTGCTTCTCCAGAGGAGTGATGAGAATGAGGGATAAGAAAGAGGCTAACGAGTTTCCACATCTACTCAAACCCTGGCCCTGTCATCCCTCCACGCCTCTGTTTTCTCATCTATAAAACCTAATTTCATTCAACAAATATTGAGGCACCTACTCTGTGCCTAACAGCCCCTACTCTTTCAAAGAGAGACAGTGAGGCAGATGCTTACATCTTCAAAGAATGGGGATGAGTTGTCCAGGGATCCGCAATGAGGAGGGGCAAGTACAGATGGCAGAGTAGAATGACAGGAGCCTTGAAGGGGCTGGAGAGCGTTAGGGAGTCTGGAGGGACAACGGGGTGTGAGGAAACCCTTCCCGCCTTCAGAGGCTGTAGAGTGTGGAATGTGAGGGAAGAAACAGCCACCACTTGAGAGGGAGTCTGGGGACACTGTCCTTCAAGGCGGCTGGGTTTGTGGTTAGCACAGAGGTCGAAGGGAGTGCTCTGAGAAGAGGAATGTTGGGAGTGTGGCTGATGACCACCTGAGTTTCAGATGTAAAAGATCTGGAAGGTGGAGAGGGTTGACTGGCTCAGAATAAGGGCTAGACAGAGCCATAGGTTTTTTTTTAAAAAATTCATTTATTTATTATTTTTCAGAAGATGGGGTCTGGATATGTTGCCCAGGTGGACTAAGTTCAAGTGATCCTCCTGCCTCAGCCTCCCAAGTAGCTGGGACTACAGGCACAGGCCACTGCACCCAGCTCACTTCTCAGCACTGGTAAATAGTGGCTGTGAACAGTTATGGTGGGCTGGGCATGGTAGCTCATGCAGGTAATCCCAGCACTTTGGGAGGCTGAGGCGGGTGGATCACCTGAGGGTCAGGAGTTGGAGACCAGCCTGGCCAACATGGTGAAACCCTGTCTTTTACTAAAAATATAAAATTAGCCAGGCATGGTGGCGCATGCCTGTAATCCCAGCTACTTGAGAGGCTGAGGCAGGAGAATCACTTAAACCCAGGAGGCAGAGGTTGCAGTGAGCTGAGATCACGCCACTTCATTCCAGCCCGAGCAAGAGCGAAACTCCATCTCAAAAAAAAAAAAAAAAATCAGTTATGGTGAAGCTCATTGCTGACAAACGCAACAGAGAGGCCACTCGGGGACAAACTCTGATAAGGCTGTTGTCACTCACCCCTTCATTCAATCAAGCCTTTTTTATCAAAGTTTTCTGGTGAGAGTCCTGGGGTTAGTAAAGGACCCCATCCTGGGTACAGTCTTCCCCAGAAGCCTCTTCTAGTAATTTTGAAATATAGGACATTATTATTAGATATAGTCAAATGTGCTCACCATAAAAAATTGGTAAGTAGGTGAGGTTGGCTTAATTTAATTATTCCACAATGTATACATCTATCGGAACATCACATTCTACCCCAAAAATATATACAATCATTATTTCAATTAAAAAAATATTTTTAAATTTTTTAAAAAGCCATTTCTCCGCAGGCCCCATGGCTCCTGTGATCTGGGAGGCGGGGTTTCATCCGCTGCTCCCAGGCCTGGAGAATAGATTGCATCAGGCCAGGGAGTGACTCAGCCAGCTATTGCTTTTGGACTAGAGTGACTCACATTGCCTGCCCGCAGGGTATCTATAACCTGGTGCTTCCTGACAAGAAGTGGCTTGAAGTCTGGGGGAACAAGGTCCTTCCGCTCATGCCGAGGAGGGAGGTTGGGAAGCTTAACGGTTTTCCTGGGACGAGGGAAGGGCTATGAAGGTTCTTTTCTCAATGTCACGGGAAGGGAGGAGGATGGGCTGTAGCACTCATAGAGCACGGTCATTACCTTGTAGGCACAACTGATTCCCAGTATCTGCCTTCAGATCACCACAGTCACAGAGTATTGGAGAGCGGTGACTGGAAAAGGGTACCAAGACCCGGAAGGGGCACTAAACAAAGGTTTCAGCAAAGGCCCAACTGATCACTTCATCTCTTTCGTTCCAGTCCTGGACGCACAATATCCAGCGAGAGAAAGAGTTTCTGCGGAAGCTGGTGAAAGCTCGTGTCATCACTGATCTAAGCAGTGGCATCTGAGTGGGCCCAGCACACGGCCATAGAGGCCAAGCACCACCAGGAGCAAGCAGCAGCCAGCGCCACCTAAACAGGAGTCTTCAGACCCAGAGAAGGACAGTGCCAAGGGCCCCAGGGGCAGCGAGGCCTCGGTGGAGCAGCCAGAGCTATGTCTGTTCAGCAGCCAGCCTCAGAGACCAGCACGCAGCCTCTCTCAGCCTGGGTCCTTGACGCCAGAGGGCCAGCAGGCTACTGGCTGTGCCCAGCAGGCCTAGCACGCAGGCGGTGGGACACTGGGCAGCAAGGCTGCTGCCGGAACCACTTCTCCAATCAGTGTTTGGTGTATTATCATTTTGTGAATTTGGGAAGGGGGGAGGGTGGGGATAATTTATTTTTAAATAAGGTTGGAGATGTCAAGTTGGATCCACTTGCCATGCAGGAAGAGGCCCACTAGAGGGCCCATCAGGCAGTGGTACCAGTGAGCTCCCTGTGGGGCAGGAGTGCCATGACCGGCCTGTACCCTCCTCTGGGGCTGCAGGGTGGTGGGCAGGATCTCAATCCAGCCCCCACCAGCTCATGACACTGTTTGGCCTTTCTTGGGGAGAAGATGGGGTATTCCCACTCACCAGCCCTAGCTGTCCCATAGGGAAACCCTGGAGCCATCCCTTCGGAGCCAACAAGACCACCCCAGGGCTACAGCAGAAAGAGCTTTAAAGCTCAGGAGGGTGACGCCCGGCTCGGCCTGCTGGGAAGAGCTCCCCTCCGCCGCTGCAGCTGATCCATAGGACTACCCCAGGCCTGGACTCGCCAAATTGCCACATGTTCTAGGTTTCAGCGACGAGACTGCCAGGTCATTGGGTTCTGCCTTTAGCCTGGACCAGAGGGAAGTAAGGCCAAAGGACCTTACCCAGGCTGCGGCAGCCATCCCAGGCCACCCTCGTGGAAGCAATAAAGCTCTTCCCTGAGCCTGGTCTCTTTTTGCCTTCTCTAACTTTCCTGAAAGAAACAGGAATCTAAAGCCGCAGCAAATACACCAAACCCTCGGGCCCTCTCTCTAGCCCACAGAGTCCTGGGTCCCCTTTACTTCTGTGTTAATGCAGGGCCTAGATAGCCACCCAGAGGTCTCGAGCATCTCCTGTCCCATGCAGTCGGGGATCCTCTTTCTTTGAGACGGGAGGTTTCAGGGCACACTCTTAGAGGATGCAGAGGCATAGGACTGGAGCCTGCAGCCCTAGGACATTGCCCCAGGATTGCCACAATCCCACCTCTGCAATGACAGTTATTCCTGCAAGCACAGGAAAGATGTACTGCCGAGCCCCTGCAGCAGGCAGAGGCCCGCAGACCTACCCTACTCCCAACACTCCCAGCCCACTGGGAAGAACATGCCCCAGGCCCCATCGTTAGAACAGAGGCACGTCCTCTCTCTTCAGCCCCACTCTAGGCATCCTCTGTCATACTTTAGAAAAGATATCACTCCCCCACACACACGTCACCTTCTTAAGAGTCCTAGAGTCTGATCCCTTCCTTCCGCAGCATCCCTAGGCAGGCCTGAGAATGGACAGACTGTCACCTGCACTTGAGAGTGTGAAATGAGCTTCCTGTCAAGACATTACGGCTGCGGCAGGTAGTAAGTGGGGTGGCCGGCCTCTGCACCTCTCTCCTGCCCACCCCAACCCAAGAGTCCAGGCAGCCCTGGGCTGCCCTCCCACTGGTGAGCCCTGAGGCTGGAGTCCTGGCCATCCCAGGGCCCAGCAGACTCCCACGTGCCCCTTCCCACTGTGGCTGGCCTTAGGCAGAAGCCTCTTGGACTTGGAGGGTAAGGGAGGCCCTGACTGAGGGACAGGTCAACCCAGAAATGCCCTCCAAATTCTACTGAAAATAGGGCCACCACCCTGCAGATGTTCCTGTCTGGATGGCACCCCATGGAGTTGTACAGGGCTTACGCTGCATGCCTGTAAGTGGTAGCCCGGGCTGAAGAAGCCCCAAGGAAGGTGCCCCAGCGGAGCAGCCAGCTGTGGGAGGTGACAGAGCAAGCAGCTCCCCGCTTGGCCTCCTGTCCCGCAGGGCTCCTGGCACACCTGCAGCAACCCCAACACCAGCAGCAGCAGCAGTTCTCTATGGTCTCTGAGCCCTGGGCATGCACCAGAATCACCGGTGCCATTTGAAAACGCACATGTAGTCGGCCGGGCGCGGTGGCTCAAGCCTGTAATCCCAGCACTGTGGGAGGCAAAGGCGGGTGGATCACGAGGTCAAGAGATCGAGACCATCCTGGTCAACACGGTGAAACCCCGTCTCTACTAAAACTACAAAAAATTAGCTGGGCATGGTGGCGCGTGCCTGTAATCCCAGCGACTCAGGATGCTGGGGCAGGAGAATTGCCTGAACCCAGGAGGCGGAGGTTGCGGTGAGCCGAGATCGCGCCACTGCACTCCAGCCTGGGTAACAAGAGCGAAACTCCGTCTCACAAAAAAAAAAAAAAAAAAAAAAAAGAAAACGCACATGTGCACCCTGAAAGTCTGAGGTCTGGGGTGGGGCCCGGATGTGGGTAGTTTTTACAGGTCCCCAGTGGTTCTAATGCATAGCCAGGGTGTAGATGGTCCATACACCCCCAGTACTCTCATCCCTGCCCACAGCTTCCAGTTGCCAGTTGGTTGACAATTCCCAAATTGCCTTCGCCAGTCCAGCCCCCTCTGCTTTCCTCCAGGCTACAAATTCACCTGCTTCCAGAACATTTCCACTTGGATAATCCACAGGCCCTTCTAACTCAGCATGTCCAACCTTGAATTCGTGAGCCCTGCCTTTCCTCCCAGGAGCCGGAATGTCCCCTCCTGAGTCACCCCGCCAAAGGCACACGTTTATAGGGCCCACCTACCTCCTCACCCTATCCAGTCAGACACCAGCGAATTTTCAAAACTGCGTGTTCCAGAAGCAGCCCCAGGCTCCCCTCACACCCTGCATCAGACCTCATCCTCTCTCCGCAGCAGCCTCCCAACTCTATTTCCACCTCTCTCTCACCCATCCTCTTTACTATAGCCAGAGTCATCCACAAAAATGCCTATGTGATCACACCATTCTGCTCAAAACCCTTCCGTGGTCCCCAGGGTTAGGCTCTTTCCATCCGCGTTCCTCACCCAGTCCTCACCCCACCTGCCAAATTGCCATAATTAGGTATCTGAAATGCTACCCTCCGGCTCCCTACTTCAAGCCTCAGCTCAGATGTTCCTCCTCTGTGACCCCTGCCTTCAGCCCTCAGTACCCATTTCTACCAACACTGCCCTTACTGTGCCCCAGTGACCCCCGTGTTTGCAAGTGTGTCCGTACTCCAAGCCCTAGGCAGCACGGGAGACGGGAGGTGAGCTATGGGGAGACCCGAGCTGAAAGCTTCTGCGCAGAACCTCAGCAACCCAATGAGGCAGGTGAACTGGCCGCGAAGAGAAGAAACCGGTGGAGCAGAGGGCAGCTGCTGCAGGGCAGACAGCCAGGCCCCCAAAATCTGCACGCACCAGCCCGCAGCTGCCCCACACAGGGACCGGCCTTCCCAGGCCTTCCCGTCGCTCCCCGCCCTCACTCCCTCCCGCCCTCGGCCCGGCCTCCCAGCTCTCTACTTTGCGTGTCTACAAACTCAACTCCCTGTTTCCGTGCCTTTCCGCCGCCCGAGTTCTCTACTCTCCACACCGAGGGGCCCCTCCCAGCATCTACCCGCCTCCCAACCTTGGGGGACCTAACCAAGCCAGGGGGGACTGGATCCGACGGGTGGAGCAGCCAGGTGAGCCCCGAAAGGTGGGGCGGGGCAGGGGCGCTCCCGGCCCCACCCCGGGATCTGGTTACGCCGGGGCTGGAATTTGACACCGGATGGCGGCGGCGGCGGCGGGCAGGAGGCTGCAGAGGGATGGAGTTGGGCCCGGCCCCCAGACAAGGCCCGCGGGCTCCGCCAGCAGCAGGTCCCTCGGGCCCCAGCCCTCTCTGCCACCTGGGCCCGGAGCCCCACACCCGAGGTAAGCCAGCCCACTTGCCTGTCCCCGGTCCCAGCCCTGGATGGACGCTCCTGGGCTGAGGGAGTGGACAGGACCACCCCCCTCCACTCTTCTTGCATCCTCCCTCTCTTGGGCCCTCAGCACAGTTCTCCGCCCCTCCCAGCCCCTCAGTCCCTCCTGTCGCTTGTTGGGACTGTGCTGGCCCTGCCGGCCCACTGTAATGTGAGGCTCCCGCTGCCGCTACAGGGCGCAGACTGGCTGCCAAGACTACACTTTTGGCTAAAAGAGGCACTGCCAGGTGCACAGTCCTGGGCATGAGCCGTTTGAGCTTCGGGGGATAGCCCAGCACTAATCCCAGGAAAGGTGCCTAGAAGAACACGGTCCAGGACCCCGTGGTGAGTAGCGGGCTGTGGATGGGGAGGCAAGGGCTGGAGAACCAAATGGCCCCAGACGGCAAGGAGGGAGGAGAGGAGGGCCTCAGCGGCCCTCCAGAGACCTGCTCCCGGGCTCCCCCTAGCGCAAAGGGCGCCTACGGCTGTCCTGCCGGCCTTTCCCGCCATCACAGAGAACAGTCACTGGCCTGGCCCAGAGGCCCTGATTCCATTTAGCCAAGAGGTGCACACCAGGACCTGGAGGACCACCCCAGGAAGGCCTGGGGGTCTGTCCCACAGGTGTGCAAGCATTCTGTGTGCTAGAGGATGGGGATGGGGACGGGGGTGGTAGCTGGGACCAAGAGAAGGCTGGCTAAAGAGGACTGAGGAAGGCTCTGGGGCCCCAGAAGGGTGTTTGGAAATGCCAGCAGTGGAGGCTTGGGAAGCCTGGCTGGGATCAGAGATGATGGCCCAAGGGGGAACCTTCTAGGAGCATGACTAGGCTGCTAGACCCACAAGTGGCTGGGAGGGCAGACCTAGACCACCTCTCAGGGTGGCTCAGCTCTCAGAGACCAGGCTGGCATGGAAGCCTGGCTGGCCCTCCTGGGAGTGGCTCAGGCCTGAGTGTAGCTGAGGGTACAGAAAAGCCCACCCTGCTTGGAATCTGCAGGCTTGGCAGACTCTGCCCCCTGGTGGCCATAGGAAGCCATGGCCCAGGCCCCATGTTTTCAGAGGGCCCATTCGCTCCCACCATCCCCTGGCTCTGTGGTCATCGAGGGACACCTATGGTCAGAGGAGAGAACGCAAGTGGCTCTGGATCCAGAACACAGTTCACAGAGGAGCAAGGGGAAGCAGCTCTGGGTGGACAGCGCAGGCTGAGGCTTGGGGCTCACTATCATTAGATAACTCAGAGTGACCAGCTAGCACCCTATTCTTCTCCAGGCCTCAGCTTTCTCCCTGGCAGCCTAGGGTGAAGGCTCTCTGTAGGACCAACTGTGTCCAGCTATGACTCCCTCCAGCCAGTTCTGGCATCTCCAGCCCTACAGCACAGAGCAGGAAGGTTCTGGGAAAAGAGGACCCCTCTCTCCTCTCCAGCTGTGTGACCTTGTGTCCTTAGACTACCTCTGAGCTTCTTTGAACCTGGTTTGCTCATCTGGAAAAAGGGGATTAAACATTTACCTCTTGGAGTTGTATAAGAATAGCTGCAAAGCACCTAACACATAGTAAGGTTCCCAGCACAGCTACTTCTGCTGGGCTGAGTCTAGCTGTCCAGGCCCCTTGCTCCTCACCTGGAGAAACTGGGGTGGCAGGATGGCCCCCCAAAAGATAACCCATCTCTTAATTTGCAAGCTGCCTCAAGAGGAGGGTGGGGGAACAGCTCCACAAAGGCTGATGGGCGCTCCTGGTGTTGATAGAGATGGAACTTGGACTTGGAGGCCTCTCTGCACTGTCCCACTGCCCCTGGCCTAGGTGGCAGGTGAGTGGTTCTCCCAGTGACTCCCAGCTGGTACTGAAGAGAGGCAGCTCGACTGGCGAGGGAGAGTGGGGCTTGGCTTGGGCCGCGGTTACATGTGGGAGGGGAAATGGTCAGGAAGGGACCAGGTGAATGGGAGGAGGAGTGGGACTTCTCTGAATGGTCGGGGCACTCAGGTGATTCCTTCCCCCCACCTCGTCCCCGAGCTAGCAAACCCATTATACCGGAACCTAGGCCCTTCCTGAGCTCCCCTCTACACAGCTAGGAGCCCATCCCCGGCCTGATCTCAGCCCAAGGACAGCCCCTCCCTGAGGTTCTCGCTCCCCAAGCCCACTGGGCGCCCTCTTTCTCCCTGAGGCTCCACTTGGTCTCTCCGCGCAGCCTGCCCTGTGGCCAACCCTGGCCGCTCTGGCTCTGCTGAGCAGCGTCGCAGAGGCCTCCCTGGGCCCCGCGCCCCGCGGCCCCGCGCCCCGCAGCCCCGTCCCCCGCGAAGGCCCCGCGCCGGTCCTGGCGCCCCCCGCCGGCCACCTGCCGGGTAGGTGAGAGGGCGAGGGGGCGGGGCGGGGCTGGCCCGGGACACCGCACGTGACTGGGTCTCGTTCCAGGGGGACGCACAGCCCGCTGGTGCAGTGGAAGAGCCCGGCGGCCGCCGCCGCAGCCTTCTCGGCCAGCGCCTCCGCCGCCCGCGCAACCATCTGCTCCTCCCCGCGGGGGCCGCGCGGCGCGGGCTGGGGGCCGGGGCACCCGCGCACCGGCAGCGGGGGCGCGGGGCTGCCGCCTGCGCTCGCAGCTGGTGCCGGTGCACGCGCTCGGCCTGGGCCACCGCTCCGACGAGCTGGTGCGTTTCCGCTTCTGCAGCGGCTCCTGCCGCCGCGCGCGCTCTCCGCACGACCTCAGCCTGGCCAGCCTCCTGGGCGCCGGGGCCCTGCGACCGCCCCCGGGCTCCCGGCCTGTCAGCCAGCCCTGCTGCCGACCCACGCGCTACGAATCGGTCTCCTTCATGGACGTCAACAGCACCTGGAGAACCGTGGACCGCCTCTCGGCCACCGCCTGCGGTTGCCTGGGCTGAGGGCTCTCTCCAGGGCTTTGCAGACTGGACCCCTACCGATGGCTCTTCCTGTCTGGGACCCTCCCGCAGAGCCAGCGGCCTCAGCCAGGGACAGAGGCCTCAGAGCTGAGAGGCCCCTGCCGGTGAATGATGGACAGCATCCCTGGAGAGGTGGAGGGACAACTGGCTAGCAGCCCGAGGACCCTCACCCTGCGGATCCCAGCCTAAAAGACACCAGAGACCTCAGCTATGAAGACCTTGGGACCCACTTCTCACAGACTCTAGCACTGGCCAAGCCTCGAACCTGGGACACCTCCTCTGATGAACCCTACAGTGGCTGCAGCATCAGCTCCCACCCAGGCCCTGTGGAGACAGCATTTGAAGGCGACATTGCAGTCGGTTGGCTGAAAGTGTCTGTGCTGGAGCCGACCTGTATGCACTAGTGGGAGCTGGCCCCCTATTTATTATTTCTAAGTTATTTATTTACTTCTGTGGCTTGTCAGATCCTTTCCTGGGCAGTGGGGAGCTGGGAAGAAGAGGCTAGAGGGAGATCATGCCTTGCTGATTGCACTTACACACTTCAGGCTGATTCAGCAATCACAGAGCTGGCCTGGATCTCCAGCCCCCACCCAGCAGCTGGCATCTTTGAGGCCCCTGCTTAGTGGGTAAAGACACAGAGAAGCACTCATTGCCCCAACTCACTGTCATTGATCAGTGTCTTACCATCCAGGGAATTGTCTTGAAGGTACCTTGAATGCCTCTGCTTGGAGACAGCCCAGCATGGTTAACTCACTACCCACATTCCATGGAGCAGCCCAGGGCATGAGAGCATCTGAAAAAAAGCTGTGGGTTGGGAGAGGGTGCGGTCAGGTCCCGGTTAAGGTGAATGAAGCACGGAGCTGCATGGGGACGAGGAAGCAGGAAAGGATAAGGGCCCCAGAAGGATCTGCATCTTGGGTGATGAACAAGGATATTCATTAATTCAAACAAATATTTATTAAGCACCTGTTATATGTCAGATACTGATTATATGACAGATACCAAGGATACAGAAGCAAAACAGACATGATCCCTGCCCTTGAGAAGCTTAAACTGGGAAAGACAGACAAAAAATAAGCAATTACAGTAATAATTATTTAACTTCAATTTGGCAAATGGTATGAAAAGGACAGGAAGCTAAGAAGTCCACACCTTCGTAGGGAAGAAAGGAAAAGTTAGTGCTGACCTTGCCTCCCACACCACCCCAAGCCACCTCCAAAAGGCCAGTGCTATCCTTGAGCTTTTCTGGAGATCCTTTGAAACCTTGTTTCCCACGTCTGCATTTGTACTGGGGAGGCCTCTATGATTTTTCTTCCTTGGAAATGAGATGGGGGCGTGGATTTGGAAAGGGTGCCAAGTCTGAGGAACGGTGGGACATCCAGAGTGGCTGTCAGGAGGCAGTGGGATCGGCTGGTCTGGAACTGCCAGGGGAGGTCTGGGCTGGACTGACAGAGCTGTCAGCACAGAGGCAGGAGCTGCAGCGGGGGTGGGGGGGTGGGGGGGGAGTACCATGAGAGACAGAGAGGGCTGAGGGCGGGATCCCTCAGGCATGTAACGCTGCAGACAGAAATTCCTTCCAATCTGCCTGTGTGCCTGCCTGCTTTGGCACAGGTGCCCCCTTCACCCAGGCTAGAGTGAGGAGCTGGCAAGAGCTCTCTGAAGGCTGTCTCATTCCGGGTCGAGGAGGAGAAACGTGTGTGTGTGCTTCCACTCATCTGCATTCACTGCCCCACTTCGAGGTGCTCCCAAAACTTTGATGCCTTTGCTCCCTTCAGACACCCTATTGGCCCCTCTCTGCCTCCAAATGGATTCAGGATCCTCAGTTCCACCTTCCCTCCTGCAAAGAAAATGGCCCCAGGGCCATACAGTTTACAGAGGGCTGCCTGCAGCAAGGACATTCTGTCAATTCCAGGGTTATTGGGGCCAGGCAGCCCCCTGCTGGCGAGACTTTAAAGCCTCGCCTAGTCCCCAAACCCTGCTACTCAGTAGATATGGCTGCTCTCAGAATCAGGTAAAGGAGACCGACTGAAGCCATCTCTGACAATGCCCACAGTGAGAGGGACACAGCCCAAGCCAAAGGTGCTGGCTGCCGACCCTTCCCAGGTTGCCAGTTGTTGAGGGAATAGGGCCCATCCAGCTGGAGGCTGCATTCTGGGCCCCAGACAGCTTGTGCTCAACATCTCAAGAGTCCCCGGCAAAACAGCAACAGCCCCTGGCAAAACAGCAACAGCCCCTGGCAAAACAGCAACAGCCCCAAGAACACATTCCCACATGAACTAGCCTCCGTTTGCAACTCAGGACAACCCAAATCAAAAGGAAGAAAGAGAGGGAGGGAGGGAGGGAGGGAGGGGAGGAAGGAAGGAGGCAAGAAAGAAAGAGAAGGCTGGGCGCGGTGGCTCACACCTGTAATCCCAGCACTTTGGGAGGCCAAGGTGGGCGGATCCCCTGAAGTTGGGAGTTCGAGCCTAGCCTTACCAATGTGGAGAAACTCTATCTCTACTAAAAATCCCAAATTAGCCAGGCGTGGTGGCACATGTCTGTAATCCCAGCACTCAGGAGGCTGAGACAGGAGAATCGGTTGAACCTGGGAGGCGGAGGTTGTGGTGAGGCATCATCATGCCATTGCACTTCAGCCTGGGCAACATGAGTGAGACTCTGAGAAAGAAAGAAAGAGAGAGAGAGAGAGAAAAAAGAAAGCAAGAAGGAAAGAAAGAAAGAAGAGAGAGAGAAAGAAATAAGGAAGGATGGAAGGAGGGAGAAAAAGCAAGAAGCAAGCAAGAAAAGGTTGTTTACCCCAAAGGAAACGGGCTGCAGAGCTGCACCTCTGTTTACCACATAGTGGCTATAACCTGTCACCAGGTGGCTCATTGTAGCTCCTGGGGCCACAGGTGACTCTGGTCACTACTAAAGTCAAAGGCCATTTAGTCCTTTGAACTCTCAGAAGCATTTGACAGTGTCAGTGCTCCTTGAAAACCTGTCTTCCTTCGACTCGTGATCCCATCCTCTCCGTGTTTTCCTTCCACTCCTCCAGAGGCTTGTTCTCAGGTGATTTTCGAGTTCCTTTTCCTCTCTCTGCCTCTCATGTTCCTCAAAGCTCTGGTATCAGCTGTCTCTCCTCTTCCCATTCTACTCTGTCCCTGAGCAGCACTGTCTACTCCCATGGCTTCAGTTACCACCTCCATGCTGACCATGCTCACATTTTATCCCAGCTTAGAACATTCACCTGAGTCCCAAGTCTGTAATTCCAGTACCTCTATCTCTATATCCTTGGAGACCTCAAGCTTAACATCTGTGTACTGGGTGTCTTCTGTTTGCTCCTTCACATCCACTCTCCACCCTTCAGCCTGCTCTGCTCCTCACATCAATGAGCTTCCCCGCTGTCCAGCTTCCACACTCTCCCCAGTGTTCCCTGCTCAGTGAATACACCAACCTCATCCAGACACTGCCAGAACCTTGGGCAACCTCCTAGACTCCTTAAGTGGTTATGTCCCTTAAGCATTGGTCACCAAATCCTTGGATCCTGCAGATTCATCCCCTTTCCCTATCCCCACTGCTATTCTGCTGAAGTCTTCAGATTTTTTTTTTTTTTTTTTTTTTTTTTGAGACAGTCTCACTCTGTCGCCAAGCTGGCGTGCAGTGGTACGATCTTGGCTCACTAAAACCTCTGCCTTGCGGGTTCAAACGATTCTCCTGCCTCAGCCTCCCAAGTAGCAGGGATTACAGGGGCACGCCATCATGCCCAGCTAAGTTTTGTATTTTTAGTAGAGACGGCATTTCACCATGTTGACCATGTTGATGGTCTTGATCTCTTGAACTTGTGATCCGCCCGCCTCGGCCTCCCAAAGCGCTGGGATTACAGGCATGAGCCACTGCATCCAACCAATTTTTTGGATGGTTTATTGCTCATCCTCCTACCTGGTCTCATTGACTCCCATTACAACTCCCTCTAATCATTCTCAGCCCTGCAGCCAGAGAAGTTCCATCCTCTTGACAGTAACTGAGCATGAACTATCATGCATTGGGCTAGTTTCAGGAATTCAGAGACCAGTGAGAAACATGTTTTGCCATCAAGGAAACTATACTTGGAGGTGGAAACAGGAGTAGGGGAGCAAATAAAAGTAAAAGGCATCCGGTTAAATTCAGATTTCAGATAAATAAATACACTTTTTTTTTGAGATAGGGTCTTGCTCTGTCCCTCGGGCTGGAGTGCAGTGGCGCGATCTTGGTTCGCTGCAACCTCCACCTCCTGGGGTCAAGCGATCCTCCCAACTAGCTAAGACCGCAGGTGCATGCTACCATGACTGGCTAATTTTTTTATTTTTTTGGTAGAGACAGGGTCTTGCTTTGTTACTCTGGCTGGTCACGAACTCCAGAGTTCAAGCAATCCTCCCACTTTGGCCTCCCAAAGTGCTCAGATTACAGGTGTGAGTCACCATGCTTGGCCTAAATACTTGTTTCCAGTATGTCCAATGCAATAATTGGGACACACTTATACCAAAAATTTGGCTGGGCATGGTGGCTTACGCCTATAATCCCAGCACTTTGGAAGGCTGAGAAGGGTGGATGGCTAGAGCTCAGGAATTCGTTGTGGCCATGTCCTGTCCTGCATGGTGGTTCTCAGCCCTGGACAGGAATGCAGAGGTGAGGGCCTCTTCCTTGGGTTCTTCATCTCAGCCTGAAGACTCTGCTACTCCTATATTCTTTAGATGTTTTTTCACTTCTTACTAGCTAGTTCATCATGGCTTCAATTACCTGTCACATTTCACAATTCTTCTATTAAACTTCCCCTGTGTGCTGACTGTGTGGTGTCTCTCTCTTGATGGCATCCAGAATGACACAGAGCCTTCTCAACAGAGGAAGTAGCAGGAACAATGACAGGGAAAGTGTGAAACAGCCTGGTGTGTTCCCAGGATTGCCAGCAATTTCAGGTAGACTTGGGGAGGGTCCTCATCAAGACAAAAGGCTGAAGGGATCACAAAGGGCTTTGAATGTTATACTGAGGAGCTGGGCCTTTACTCTGAAAGGAGCCACTGAGGGTTTCTTTTTTTCTTTCTTTCTTTCTTTTTTTTTTTTTTTTTTTTGAGACAGAGTCTTACTCTTTCACCTAGGCTGAAGTACAGTGGTGTGATCTTGGCTCACTGCAACCTCCACCTCCTGGGTACAAGTGATTCTCCTGCCTCAGCCTCCTGAGCAGCTGGGATTACAGATGCATGCCACCATGCCTAGTTAATTTTTTTTAATTTTTAGTAGAGATGGGGTTTTACCATGTTTGTTAGGCTGTTCTTGAACTCCTGACCTCATGATCTGCCCACCTTGGTCTCCCAAAGTGCTGGGATTACAGGTGTGAGCCACCACACCTGGCCGACTGAAGGGTTTTAAGTGGGCTTGGTTAGACATGTATTTCAGATGGATCACTGGCTACTGTGTCGAGTACGGATGGAAGAGGCAAGG